CCCACACCTGTGTTACCAGCACTCTTCAGCCTAAATCACCAGCAGACAGAGGGGTGCTTGAGAACAGTGCACTGAAAGACCCCATGGCTCTGGTTTTTAATCAGAGTTGCTAAAAGCAGGTATTATTGCTTATTTAGCAAACCAGGGTAAGGTGGCCCTTGCCCCTGATGGGCACCTCAAAGCAGTTATCTGCAGGCCAAGGGAGCCATAACTCCATTGCAGATCATCATGAGAGATTCTCCAGCTGGTGACACTTGCTGTTTCAGCATTTTGACTTCACATGTGGGTGTTATTTACACTATAGAAAACCTCCCCCCAAAAGCAGTAAGTATAATCTTGCAAAAGTGAGACTCAGTTCTTCTGAATCCCACAAAAAAGAAGGAAGGAGAGGGAAGAAATGCAGCAGGGTAAGACAGCTCTCCTTTGTTCATATCTCTAGGGAACTTTTGCCCTTGCAAAACTTGTCCACAAAGGTCAGTTACAGAGGGGAATAGGACACATCCACCAGTCTTCCATCTTCAGATGAAAACTCAAATATTCAAAAAGCTTGATGAACAAAAATCTCACGGAAGAAAGTTAGGGACATTCAGTTCAGAGGCAGACACAATTTAGATGAAGCCATACTTAACTGGATAGCCAATACACACCAAAGGTCATACTGACAAGAACAAAAAAAAAAGTAGTTTCAGGGAATTAGTTACTTGTTCACAATATGATTCTATGATTCTATGATTCTATGAATACTGCTATTTCAACTTTTGAAAGCCATGTAATTAATTACATTTAGTTGCTTGTAATACATTTCAAAGCTAATCTCCCTTCCATTATAGAACTCTTGCATGTAGCATTACAACATGTCCAACACAATGTCCTGTTACTGCAAAGTAATAGATGTATTCAAACAGCTTTAACTTAAAGAACTCATAGAAGTAATGTGCAGTTTTCTCTTCAGCATACCTGTTAAGGCTCACCCCCCATCTAATATCATAGCATTCAGCAGGTCAAACACTTAGAAAAAAAAAAAAATCTGTATAGCTACAACCTGTAAACCCTACGGTGCCGTGCTAAAGCAGATAACATGTCCCATTATCTATCCTCACATGAAGCGCTACAAGCAGCTCACCCAGAACCCCTTAAAAAAATCCACAGAAAGGGAATACAAGTGATACACATGGAACTGCGTACCCCTCACTCACCCCTCCAGGAGCACTGGCTTCAGCTGCTCTCCTCCACCACTCCACTCCCTGAAGTGCAGGCTCTTGCTTCCACCTGCCTCCTTTTGTCTCCTTGGCCTTGATTGATAATCCAGCTCAGCTGGCTTCCCTAGGAGACAGCACAGGAAGCTCAACAGGAGAAAGGCTGCAGCCACAGGCAGGCAAAAAAACCCAACCCCCAAACCAAAGTCTTCCACATGCCATTCATGCTGGACCTCCATCTCATATCATATCCCCTTCCAGCAGTGGTGGGTTCCCCAATAGAACCAAAACTGCAAGGCTCTTCCCGATGGACCAAAAATGACAACTTGCTAAACTAGGTTAAAATAAACTACACTTTAGCTCGCTGCATAGAGAGGTAGTTAATTTATGAACCGAACTCAGCTTCCCAAGCAAGTGGTGGGAGGGAACGGCACACAAGGAACCTGTGTTACTGTTCTCATAGTCAACTGACCAGACGCCCTTTGACTGAGCTGATCTTGGTGAAAAAGTGAGAAAAGACGGAAAGCCTTGCTTCTGGCTGCAAAGGAAGCTGTTTTGCTGTGATTAAGCACAGCTGTTCTTGAAGGAGCCAGGGTGGCATAATGGCTGCCATGGGTATCAGAGTGCTGCATCTACAGGGAGCTGTACCTCTGAACCCTGGTACCAAAAGAGGTCCCCCTAGGACAGCAAGTCTTGCCCCTCCATAAAGGTACAGAGCAGCCCATAGGATCATGGCCCTGCCAGCTCTTTTTTTTTCATCGATCTTTTTTTCCCATCAGAAAAGCAGTGACTTACCTCGTGCAAAACATGGCGACACTGGGACAGTGCACAGATTTGCATCAGGGGAGTGGCACAATGCTCTGCAGAAGCACCCAGTGAGGGAACAGTGCTGGATGGGGGGAGGGAATAGTTTTTTGGGGAAAAGAAACACTTTAATGTTGCTTAATCCAGGGAAAAATGGGACAGCACGATCAGTGTTGAGAGGATTCTGTGGAAACGTGGTGATGGGTAGGCAGAAGCACGTTACTTTTCTCATTCCTACTGCAGCCCTACTCAGCGACTGTTCAAGCCCTGCTAAGGACCACAGAATCCAGGGCACCCCCTGCCCTAAGGCAAAATCAGCAGCCCAGAGCACCCCTGCCTGATCACCTAAGATGACTGGAGTGAATTGTCCCTTCCTTCAGACTGCCCACAACCTTAGACAACCATCAATGGTTCTCGTTAGACTCCAGAGGCTGCCCTGGCCCCGGGACCACCAGCTCCATTAGCCATTAGGCCACCCAGCCACGGAGCTGCCTGCGCCGCTCGCGGCAGCAGGGGGGGG